GAAGGCGGGTGGGGAGGCGGCTTTTGCTTGTGGGGGGAGTCCCCCTCCCCACAGGAAGCCACGACCATGTGTCACAGCACAGAAAATGGCCGCGGGTCGTGTTCGTCACCCGATGCGGAGTTCGCGGACGGAAGCAAAATTTTGCGAACGGTGCTGTTCGTGACCCGAATCAGTCGTGAACAGAAGCGTTCGTGACCCGAGGTACCACTGTACTTTAAAACCAAATGCTCTGTCTTAATGATATGAATACCTACCCAACCTGTAGGTTAAAAAGCTGAATACTTGATCAAATATATCAAGCGAGATACCATAGTGCTCATTCATGGTCAGAAGCCCCTAAAAAGAGTGGGAGATCAGTATAGACAGAAGGACTTTCCTAAAAAAGCAAGAATAGACAGTATGGTGAGAAATCCTAAAGAATGGGCAGAGAGAAGAAAAAACAGATTTGCTTGTGTTCCTTAAAGCATACATATGAATGCAACTCTCACTATATACAGAATTCTTCTCAGATATAAAAATGTGAATATTCAGGTATATCTAATCCTGTGCTTTTACCACCCCTTTTGCATTGTGCAGAGTATATTTGTATGTATAAAAGAAAACTGAATTTCACAGCCATTTAAAAATGTTGCCTGTCATAGTGAGGAACTCTGTTGAATGAAGAACATTGATGAGTTTGCCTTAAATCTAAGCATTAGGCCAGGAGTACAGGAAGCATAGCTTTTCCAGTGATGTTGCATTTTCCATTGCTGAAGTACAGAACCTTAGAAAGCCTTAGCAGAATGTTGGAATATAGAAGGAGGCTTTCTCCATTCAGCTCTTGCCTGAGCAGAAACAAAGGTAGATAGTTTATATGGAGAGATTGAGAGAAACAAAGGAGAGGGGAATGAATTCTCCCCTAGTCTGGATATAAGCTGTAGAAGTACCCAGTATAGCTTTGCACTTGAGATAAACATTATTAGTGAATGTAATATTTTATATATTTATCATTTTCCATAAAATATAGTAAACTATTGAAAATAAAGCTGTACAAATGTGAATACAAACAAACATGCAAGTTTCTTTTTTGGAATATCACATACTTTAGCATTTAGGACAAAAACAGTAATCTTTCCTTGAAACTTTGGAAGATTCAAAATAAGCAAAAAGGGAGGGAAAATCCTGATTAGTTGCTTTATAAGATGAAGAGGGGAAATATTTATGTATAACATTAAAAAGACATGCTAAATGCAAATAGTCTCTTCAGTTGCACCAGAGGTTGCTGTGAGAAAAACCAAAGTTCTGTTTAGAAAGCTAGAAATTGTTTAGAATGTCCTGATATATCTTAATAATTAAGTTATAAACATATCCTTTGTAAGGAGAAGTCCTTAAATTTTCACTTCTGATACAATTTTAGATGGCACATTAGCCAACAGAAGCTAGATAGATAGCTGATACTACTACAGGAATTGCAGAAAATAGATTGGGATACTACACTAGATAGTGTGTGATATACAATAGTTAGCAATACTGCCACTAGACATAAATAGCTAATATATTAGTTTTTTTAAAGATAGTTCTCCCTAAATTCAGTTGATGAGAGAGAAAGACAGAGAGAGAGAAGATCAGCACAAGATTTATTGTGAGCTTTATTTCTGGAACCGAAAACAAAATTTTAAACTGAGCATGTTCTCACAGGTACCTTGTTTCTCAGTTCTTAGCCCTAAAGCAATTTGCACTGGTTATCTGTCTATGTAGCCGGAGTCTAACATCTATATATTCCTAGTCTAATGGTTAATGGAGGACAGTTTCTCTGTATCAACAAATGGAGAATATACTCTGAAGATCTCATTTTCTAGAAAACTAAGCATTGTGTTCTCCAAAGTTATTGCAAAAAATGCACTGGCAGACCTCAGACATACAGTATAAAAGGTGTGCTGTGCACACACATGCACATACACAGGAGGGAAATTCAAACACATACTTAATCTTAGAAAGTTTTAAGCTAGAGGTAATGGGAATCGTAATGGAGGCACCTGCAATTTTAGAGGGATAAAAGAGGTGCCCAAAAATATAGATTGCTATGTCTTTTCAGAGCAGCATTGTTTTAGGGTTAATTCTATGTTATCTTGCTTTCTGCTGTCCTTGAAAGGTTTAATCAAAAAGAAAGCTCTAATTCTTAAATAATTTTATCAACAATCTACTTCTTTTTAAAGTGCCTGGCACTGAATTGGTTGTGGTTTTCTGGTGAAAAATGAGGATTCAGCAGATACTAACAGAAGGCAATTTTTGCTAGTTCCTCTGAATGTCTACTCTCAGATAGTTAGACATTACATGTTGGCTAAGAAATTATTCTTAATTTACTTTAAAATGTCTTTAAAATCCCTGTAACAAACAGTAGGAGCAACTGTTAAACACCCTTGTTGCAGTGTGGCCTCTTTGCACAAAGACAGAACAGAACCAAATGATGAAGCAAGTGACAGAGATGGATTCCCTTCAGCGTAATTCCTGAACATCTGAACAGTTAAAAGATATTCTTTACCTACGTATCTGAACAGACAACAATGGAACATAGTTGTTAACAGTTACAGTTTTATACCTCTCAGCAGCATAGCAATATCTGCAGTGCCCGTGTATTACACAGAGTGCGCTGCTGTATTTGATATTCTGCCAGAAAATGAAAAGACAGCACAGGTAGAACACAGAAGGATAACAACGTTATATTACAAACCATGAATTTTAACTTCCCTGGCAAAAATGTAAAAGCAGCAGTAACTTATCTGCTAGTTTGTTTTTTTCTTACATTCGGAGTTGCTCTCAATTTTGCACCACGTATTTAACTGAACTTCCTCGTGGCCAACTCCTCCTCACCTCAGTGCTGGCCAGTGTCAGTAGGGATGGAACTTGCTCATTTTTGGTTGATGCAGTCTCAGTAGCTTGAGAGATTAAAAAAAAAACGGATGCAACAGGATGCCGGGACATCTGAAACTTGTTTTAGAGAGTGTTCCTTGCAGCTCTCCCAGCATTTCCTCTCAATAGTAGCTGGAGGGGTTATTGAAGATGGTATGTTTGGAGATTCTGCACTTGTGGTAAGAAGCTGTAAGAAGTTCTAGGACCAGCATCATCCACTGTGCTGAAGGGCTGGCCTTCCAAAGCCTTCATCTGCACTCATCTCTGATGCCTTTGGGCCTCCCTACATTTGTTCACCAACTGCCATTGCGTAGGCATCTGGTTTCAGAACAGGTGCCTTGAAGAGAGTTGGCAGCCTGGTTTGTCATGGCTGAAAGTCCTTAGATCGGCTGACCTGAGTCTTTCAGGGGAAGCAGATTGAGCCTGGAGTGGCCCCATACTGTACTGCCCTTGAGCCCATGGTAGCTGTGGCAGTTGTCTCTTGGTTCCTCTTGGTGATCACTGATAGGAGTGGGATAAAGGTGGGGCAGTTTTTTCCTCGCTGACATATGGAGTAAGTATACTGGGATGACAGTGAGCACTGCCACCTGCTCTACTTGTGCTTGGGGGATGATTCCCTGCTTCAGTCTCCCACATGATGCCAGCTGGTGGCATCAAGTTGCCTAAAGAAAAAATAGCATCCAGCAGTCTAGCTTTTGTGCAGCTGACATCCTCCTTAGACTAGTAGTCCTTTCTCTGACTTTCCCTCTAACACTCCCAGTCAGGGTTCTTGACGATTGAACTGCTGGAGGGGCAAGGTGTAGCCATAAAGGGCTGTATTAATTGGGTATTGCAAACAGCAGAACAGTACTAGCATTCACCAAGCACTAAATCTAAAGAATTAGTTTTCTCAAATAAGCAGTGTTTCTGTTTTAAAAAAGGTGAAATGTCCTAAAGTGGGATGAATTGCAAAGCAGGGAGTACGGACCTCTCTCCCTTCTAATATACTGGTCTTTATACTGATTTGAAACTGTTAAAAATTAAAAGTGAAGTAACACTAAAACTAAATTGTCCCTAAGGGCGGCAGACTGATATTTACCAGAAGAGTTCTAGCACCAGTCACCAGCTGACCAGTCAGTTGTAGCAGAGCAGTGTCCCAGTGGCATTTCAAGCTTTGAAGCTTTCTGCCCCATCAACCCTTCCAGTCTGAACCAAGACCAGCAGGAGCCTGACTGGTCCCAGCTTGAAAAGAGGAGCAAAAAGGCAGATCCTGGTGCTTGGAATAGGTGGAATGCTTGAAAGTCATTCAAAATGGTTGTCTTGTTCCAAGCCTGGGAGAAAACCAGAATGTTCTGTTTGAAGTTTGAAATGTTTTAAGCTCAAAATGTTCTATGTACTCCAAAGCTTCAGGTTTTTTAAAAAAAATAACTGCTAATCTTCATCCTGTTCGGTGATTTTTAGAATAGAACATGAGTTAGTCTGAGTTAATGCAGAGCACTCCTTTATCATTTCAGGAGTTTAAAAAAATGAAAACAAAACAAAAGCACCTTCAGCGTATTGGTGAAGAAAATCCTGATGAAGGAACAGTTGGTGCTGCAGTTGAAGAATATGAAGCTAAGAAATCAAATGATGAGTTTGGAGACCATTTTGGTATGTGTTTGCTTTAAATGAAATTTTGATAAGTTGAGTGCAAATGAACATGCTAATACATTTCAGCAGATTGTTCTTTAGAGAGATTTAGCACTGTTTTAATTTTGCACACCTGCAAAATGGGATATCTGAGTACTCGTACGGGAATTTTTCACAAATGAAAGTAAATCTTGGGATGGTTCAGAAGGGATGCTTACTCTCTTGAGATTAGAACATTGGTCTTAATAAATTGAAAGTGTTAATCAAATGAACTGAGCTACAGAAAATGTTTAAGCTGACAAAAAGCATGATTGAAGTATATTTTTCATTGCAATACTATCTGTCAACACTTAAAATTATGCAAAATAGAATAAAATTGTTTTAATGGAGCATGCTATCTTTTGAGTATTGGTGGTTATGTATGTATATTGAAATACTAAACACCAGCTGGAGACTCACAGAAAAAATATGACTTTGCCTTTTAACAGTTAAAATAAAACTGAAGGTTTGAGCTCCAGAAGGGTCCATGGGATGAGCAATTTGTCTGAAAAACTTGGAATCACAGAGTTGGAAAGGGCCATTTAGGCCATGGAATCCAACCCCTTATGTAGTACAGGAATCCAGTTTGAAATATCGCTGACAAATGACTAACTAGCCTCTGTAGAACACAGTCAGTGAAGGGAGTCTGTAATCTGTCTGGGTAATTAGTTGTGCTGTTGAACTGTTCTTACTGGTAGAAGGTTTTTTAACATTTAGTCAGAATTTGGCTTCCTGTAACTCACAACCATTATTTCATGACCTGTTCCCTGGATTGATAGGGAATAGTTCTTGCTCTTCTTTTAAGTGACATTCTTTTTCATGTAAAACACATTTCCAACATGGACAAATTGCATACATGACTCTGTTTGCACTGATTATTGTTGTTAGGAAAAGAAAATCCTGTATAGATCTTTAAAACAAAAGGCGTGTTTGTATATGAATGTATGTGTATCTTTTTTAGATCCTGGTCCTTCATCCCTTGGAAGTATGCTTATGTCAGCGCAGGGAGAAACTGAATGGGAGAAGCTTATCCGAACTGGTCAGATGACTCCTTTTGGAACGAAAATACTTCAGAAACAAGAGAGGAAACCCCGTAGGATAATGCTGAATGAGACATCAGGTTTTGAAAAGCATTTGGCAGATCAAGAAAAGCTCTTGTTTGAGAGGAAGAAAGCATCATTTCATAAAGGGGGCAAGCATAAACTGCCCTCAGAGAGTAATCAAACCAAATCTCTAGTTTGTTTCATAAAAGGCAAGGGAAACAAGAACAAAGGGCCATCAAAAGATGATAGCCATCTTCAGAAGCATGCTCTTTGTGTTCAAGCAAAAGCCAGGTTTCATAAGGCCAAGGAGTTGGAGGAAAGGGAACAACAGGAGGATTGGGAGGATTCTGGATGCATGTCTTATGAAGACCTTAACATTTCAGATGAGGAAGAACAATTTTTTCAGGAGGATGATAATGAGAAACCTATGTCATGGGAAAAGGAATACTTGCTAAAGCAAGAATGTCATGAAGACGACATGGACCATGATTTCTTCCCAAGCTCTTCAGAAGAAGACGACGACATTATTAGGAAGCGGAGAATAAAGAGATACAAAGATGATGGCAATGAAGATTACTATAAGCAAAGGTTAAGGTCAGTATACAGCACATATTTATATTGTGGAAGGTCCAAATTATGGGATTAAACCGGGTTAAATTGCAGGTAGTTCTCATTTAGCGACCACAATTGGGACCAGCAATGTGGTCACTAAATGGAAAATCACATGACTGCAACTGTGCTTATAGTTTTACTTCAGCTTTCCTTTTTCCCCACTCCCCCACCCTTTGAAATGCTTACCCCAGCCCTGGTATAATTAATAAGAAGGGAATTAATGTTTGTATTTACATTCATTGGAGAAGAAGGAGTTACAAGAGAGTAAGCAGGCACACAGTGGGGAATACACATCAGAAGGAATGCGCCAGTACCATTTGCCTAGCACCCTTGCAGCTCCCAGACTGAGCACACTAGGCAAACAGCCGGCGCTAGCATATTCCTTTTGATATGTATTCCCCATTGTGTGTCTGCTTACTCTCTTGTAATCCCTTCCTCTCCAATCTCTCTGCGAGGAAGGAAAAAAAGAAAAAAAAGGTCAGGCACACAGTGCATACTAACTGACTAATAGCGAGGATATGGCTGAGAGGGATGCTGCAAAGATTGTAAATGCACGCCTTGGTCACAAAGTTTTTTTTTTTTTAACACCATCATAACTTCAAATGGTCGGTGCACAAGGCAGCTGATGAGCAAGGTCTATCTGTATTCTAATTTGATTCTCACTGAGTACAGTGGGACAAATTAATCATTTAGTTCAATGATAACTGAATATACATTCCTTGAATGATGTTCTATGGCTTTACATTCTATATTTGGTAAATGAACAAAATATTCTTAGTTTCAGAATAAATCAAAGGATTATCTTTTTTTAGTGGATGCTTCTGTCTCAAAGATGTAGTTATTTCAACATTTGTAGTAAACGCAAAGACAAAGAATTGTTATCTGGTACAAAATACTGGTGGACACTCATTTCACATTGTTAAGGAACTGCCCATCTTGGATAGATGAAGTTAGTCATTTTTGTGTGCCTTTCCCTCTTCCCTTGTTGCCTTTATTTGTTCATAGGCTCCAAATTACTTTGAATGCTTGGGTTATTTCAGTTGTATAGCTCCAGTTATTAGAAGATTATTGGAGTGCACAACTCTGGAATTTAAGACCAGTCTGATAGATAATTGAGAAGTTATGCCCTTGATACATTTTTTACTTTTTTAAAAAAATCAAAAGATGTAGTTTAATATTCCTTTTAAAATTACAAATAACCAGCCGATCCTGCCTTTGCGTATCTTGGAATAAATGCTCTAGATTGGCCTGGAGCATTTAGCTCACAATATGTAAAATGCTTATTTTCAAAGAACTATATCTGGGTTCTAATCTCGTTTTTGAGAAGAAACCAAGAAATACCTGTAGCTTAAGAAACAAAAGCCTTTCTGAGAGATACTGCAAAGAATTAATACATGTTCAATGTAAAATATTTGCTATTTTATTAAAAGTTGGCTTTTTTGATTGACTTAGCTCAATATTAAATCATTTTTAATTCAGTGTTTTCATCAAGAGTAATTTATTTTGATTGAAAGTTTTAATATGATCCACATTTTAAATCCATTCCAACAAGTTTTTTTAATAACATTAAGACTGTAGCAATTTATCCTTTCTAAAGTCATACATTTCCTACAGTTGCTAAAGTTACAATAAAAGCCTAAATGAATTTTAGAGATATCCATAAGTATAATTGCTAGGAAACATTACATCTGAAGTTTCATAGACATAGTTATGGCTGTTAAACTGCATCTGTCCACATTGATGTTGTTGTACTACCACTCCCTAGATGATCTGCGTTGAGGGAAATGCTTCTAGGAGATAAAATGGAGTGAAATTGCTAACAAAGTATCATTTGCTCATACTTGCATTTTATTTCTTGATTATAGTTGATAAAAACAACTGAATGGAGATACGGTGAGTTTTCTTTTCCCCCTCCATCAGATAATAGAGGCAGTCCTCACGGATTGCTCAGTTGAGCGCTTTGCCGTGTGGGGAATCCCACTTACGTCAAAAGAAAGAAAACGAATTTTCTTCCCACAGAGAAGCTTTCAAGATTGCATTGGGGAGACGGTTCTTCATCATGACTAAAATATTATGTTTGTAAAGCTTGACAGCCAGCTGGGTGTCTCCTCTGAACATCTGAAGCACAAGACCAATTAAAAAATTGTGATTCCAGAGAGACAGGTGGGAAACAAGCAAGAAGGAAAACTCTCAGGTAGTTCTGACATGCCATTTGTCTGCAGCAGATCATTCTGAAGTAGTAGAAGGGTAGGCACTCAAAGGAGACGACAGGATAAATGTAGGAGTTTATGTTGCCATGCATCAGCGTAGCAGCTTGTGTTACTGTATGTCTAATGTAAGGACTGTCCATTTTATGATTTGCAAAAGACAGTATAAAACTTGAAAAGGTTGAAAAACTTAAGTCATGTAGTTTTTGTGATTTTTAACTCTTTTTAATTTTAATCTGAAATGGCAAAATGGCTAACCTAAAAACCTACATCAACTAGATTGTTTCCTGAGAATCTGAAGTGTAATTCACAACTCATTCTTAAATTGATATATTTATAAGACCATAAAAACGATAAACTAGTTAAACTGGAAGTCACAAGAACAGGGAATCGCCATTCATGAAAAGTTGTCTTAAAGGGATTAGGAGTTAGGAAAGTGGCAGAAAGGGCCATGCTTTTCAGTTGCTCCAGTCTTTGTTCTCAATCTTGGGCTTTGGGTCAGACAAAAAATCTGAATTCTGCTCAGATTGAAGTAATCAACATTGAGAAACATTACGGCCTGAAAGAGATGAAGTTCCCAATCGTTGTTGCCCCTTAACTGTTGGTTACATAAGCTGTCTCCCTGAAGCAATCTTTCTTGACACAACAGTGGCCAGCTGTTATTTCAGAAGAAAACAGCTGGCCACTACATCTAGAAGTGCTTTCTGCTACTTTCATGTGATGAAGGGATCTGCAGCCCTGCCTTAATTAGAATGGCATAAAATTGCTGATAATGGAAGCACTTTGGTTTTGGCCCAGATATGAAGTTTCTTTCCAAGGAAGTTATTTCTAACTTTGAAATGGTTATTTATAAAAACCAGAGATGTAAAGATACTTTTAATTGTGTATCAGGATATCAGTGGCTGAAATGATTACATTTGCATATTAAGAAATTATTCTCTCCCCCTCGAATTCTGATAATTTTTGTATTTTATGTTTAATACGGTCCTACAACCCCCTTCAGTCAAATGAATCCTTCAGTTATTAAGTGTCTTCACCTAGGGGCTATTTAGGTGTAATGCCACACAATGATTTGCCATTACATTCATTTGAAGAAGCAGTGGAATCTTGTGTTTGCCTCTCTCTCCACTGATTTCTGATGATTTACTTCCTACTTTCTAGCTGTTTAATAATGTTAATAATAGCTTTAATAATAAAGTAAAGACTCCCCTAAATCAGGCTTAACTCCTGGAGAACTACATAAGCCCATCTGTGTAGAGGCTTTGGCGTACTGCAGTGGAAATGATTTGGTGGTTCCTTCTTCTGAGACAACTTTCTGACTTCTCACTTTGTTCTTATAGTTTTGTCTAAGCAAACAAATATATTTTAGACTGGGAAAGAGAGACATTGATACATATGAAAGAAGGCAAAGTGTGTAAGCCCACTTCAGGACCAGCCTTTAGAAGTGGCACCTGTTAATATTTCCCCATTGTTCCTCTTTCACATTCTAGCAGGAAAAGAATTAAAGCGTATATTCTACTTACTGGATTATGTTTGGATGGCCATATTCTTAATAGTGCTTTTTCCCCTCATAAGGAAGAGAATGCCCAAGGGAATCTGTAAGCAATTTTTGCATCACAAAATCTCTTATGTCATTTTTCCATGATACTGGTTTTCTTAGAACCTCAGAAACTTTAGCCAGTGATCATTACAGGTAGCTTTAACTTGTCTTTGTCACCAACTGAGGGCAGTGAGGAGGTATTGTAGCTGCCACTTCACTCCCAGTGTGTTGATTGTCATGGCCCACAGTTTTTTATTGGCTTTAGTGTTGTCTCCTCTCCTTTCTGTTTATATAGAGAGGCATGTAGAGCCATATTCTACTTGTCTGCTTAGGTAAGACTGGCAACCAGAGATGAGCAACAACCAAAGAACTTCTTCCTTTACCATGTTGCCATGGTCAAGAGAGCCATTGCGGGGCTGGACATATGTTTGCTGTTTGGCTAAGGAATCCTCCATTGTTGGAAGAAGATAGGTAATACCCAGAACACGTACTGGTGGAAGAAAAGTATCTTTTTTAAATAGTGAGAAAATTGTATATTTAATAGGTATTCTAAAGCAACACATACAAGTACTCCAGCCTCTCTCCTCATAAAAATACTCTCATTCTTTTTTAAATGGAGTTCTTTTGAACCTCCTTTAAAACAAATACAGTGCTTCAAGAGACATTTAAACGTTACTGCATTTTAAGGACTGGGTAATCCAAAATACTAATAGCTTCATAAAACTCAGGAACATATATTCTGACTAGGGATCCAAATACAGCTTTCACTCCTAATTTCCAGTCAGTTTTTATTTATTTGTTAAGACTCATAATTCTAATAGCATACATCTAAACTGCCAAGGAAGCAGCAATTAGAGCGACCTAGCACAAGTCATAAACAGACTGATCTGAAGAATAAATCATTCTCTCAATTTCCAAAATGATAATGATCATTAAGGGATTCTTGCCTTTTGAAATAAAAAAGTATTATCTTCTAGAAACATAAACTATAAACCCAGCTTGATTCCTGGATATATTTTGAAAAATCAACTTGTTCGTCTTGTTCTTGCGGTACATAGAAAAGGATCATTCTGCTTAATCCTATCCTACTTATAGCTATTTGACTAAATAATAAGTTTTTTCTTGTTTATTACAAGGTGTCTAATCACTTAAAAATAGATGGGAATTCTGAAGCTGGTGTAGCTCAACATTTACAGATTGTCATATTATTTCAGTTTGAGTAATTTGATATTTCT